CTTCAGCCAAAAGCTTTCCTTCTCAAATTTGGTTCAACAATATACACACCAACCACTCTCTCACTCCACTCATAACACAAACATTATATTATCAAATAATAATTACATTGGCTTCTCACCCGGCAAATATGAAGGAGATGATCCACCATCAACCTGTGATTTCTTCCTCTGAAAAATCCCACTCAAATTGCTTACAAGAATTTTCTTTGTCTTCTGTTTCTGAATGTTAACAGGTTTCTGTGAAGCAGCTGGTGGTGGAGGATTCACCGGAATCTGCTTCCGAAGTGGTGTTGAAGGTAATGACTGTGACTCTTGTAAGATCAACGAAGCTGCTTCTGCTGCCTTCTTCTGCTCCTTTTCCCTCCACCGCCGGAGCTCCCCCTCCACCGCTTTCCTAGCGGCATCCGCCATCTCCGCCCGCTTCACCGCTGCCTCCGTTGCAGCTTTCATTTCTTCAATCTCTTTCTGTGCTACTTCCAGCCTCTTCACCGCCTCTTTCTCGCTCGCTTTCACCGCCTCCGCCTGCGCCATTGCCGCATCCACCTTCATCCCCGCCAGCTTCTCCGATTCCTCCACTTTTCTACTCAATGACTCGAATTCTTCCCGTGAAATTGTGATCTTTGATCCAGATTCAGAAGTTGAAGCACGTGCAGCATCTGTTCTTTCTGAAATCAACTTTATCTCCTCCAAAGCTTTTGATTCTGCTGATTTAGCTTCATCTGCTTCCATTAACGCGATTCTTAATTCAACTTCAGCTTCTTCTAAACAAGCTTCCATGGCTGCCGCCTCCTTCTGCAACTCTTCAGCTTCCTCCTTCATTTTTTCCGATTCCCTTTTTGCGGTTTCACTCTCCGCCAATAGTTGCCGGAGAGCCGCCACCATTTCATCAGAACCACCACTGACTCTGGCTTCCTCCACACATGCAGCTTCAAGCTCCATTTTACTTTTCTGCAACTTGACATTCAGATTTCCTGCCATTGCTTCGGTTTCTGCTTCTTTTTCTTTCAATTCTTCGTGTTCTTTCTTCACGTTCTCCAGCTCGATTTTCAAAGATTCTAATAAGTTTCTTAGTGAGGTCTCTTCTTCTGCAACTTTCTGTAATGAATCTTTAGCTCCATCAAGCTCTAATGTCACGTTTTTCAAAGAATCAAGATCTGAAGCTCTTGCATTCTCCATTTCCAATTCCAATCTTCTAATCTCAGATGTGGTTTTAGCAAATTGGGATTCAAGATCTTTTGACATTTCGGGATCAATTTGTTCTCTCAAAGCAACTAGTTTCTTTGCAGATTCTTCAAGAGCGGATTTATGTGCGAGTTTTTGAATGTTCTTCTCTGAAACTATCTTCTCTTGTTCTTGTTTTGCTTCAATGGCTGCAAGCTTCACATGCTCAATAGCTTCTTGAACAGACAAAATCTCCTTGGATATCTCACCAGCTTTATCCAAATTCGCTTTGCCCATAACCTCAGCCTCTTGTTCTTCCTTAATAACATCAGATTTTTCTTCCATGGCTACTTCATAATCATGGCGGATTCTTCTTAGCTCTTGTTTTGCAGCATCAAGTTCTGTAAACACAGCAGCATACTGTTGTTTTGATTTCTCCAAATCGTGATTCAAAACACCATTAGAGTTTGTTTCTCCAACATCAAGTTTCTTGGCCTGATCTTTTGCCATTTCTGTAGCTTTGATTGCTGATTCTTTTGCTTCGTTAATGATCTGGAGTTTGTTTTTCAAATCATCTACAGTTCTTTTAGCTCGTTCAAGCTCTGTAAGTGCTCCAGATTTTGTAGTTTCAGCACTCTTTAACTGTTCCTTTAACTTATCGAGCTCTTTCTGAGCTAAATGGAGCTTTGTCTCCTTCACCAACACCCTCTGCATCCATAAACAATAAAATTACAGGATTAAAATCTCAATTTGGGACAAAAATTTAAGAAAAGAAAGAACATAAACATACATCAGTTGAATGTGGTTTTATTTTCTTGATTGTGAGTTTTTCGCCTGAAAAAGCACCTTCTCCAAAAAGGTTGACTGCATCTTTGACCGATTGGAAAGGTGCCCTGGTGTCGATTTCTCCGACCTCCACTTTTGGAGAGTCTGTTTTGCTTTGACGATCTTTCGCCACCATACTGAAAGAGGGTGATAATTAGTTTACCATAATATATAAAATAAAAAAATAATACGTTTATTTCTCTCATTTCTCCGAAAAGAAACTGTAAACTATCAAAAGCCCTGTATAACATCAATCATGAACACCAAAGTTTTTAAACGTTATTGCAACCGATTTGACAAAAGGGCTGAAAGTAAAAAAGAAATAAACATTCAATGTTGGAATCGAAATATGGATGAACATACTTGATTAATTAGGAAGTTTCTTCAGAGAAATGGGTTGATAATGTTAATCTAGCAAGCTCCAAGACCCTGAAAGCTGAAATCACACAACCAAGTTAATAATAATAATAAGAAGAAGAAGAAGAAAGGATCATTCATCATTCGATCAACCACATAAACTTGAAAAGTTTTATATAAAGATTTTGAAAATCATCAAGTATAAAGAAACTTGAAAAACCCTAAAAGCAAACAGAAAGAGGGTATGATTATATGAACCCTAGGAGTGTGATAGATGCAAAAAGCCAAAAATCAACAAGTCTTTATGGTAGAAGTGCAAATACTTTCATGATTGAGAACGTTAGTGTAATGATCCGGTTATTAAAATCCCTTTTTGATTCCTTCAAAATCAAACAACCCCACAAAAAAAATGAAGAACACGGACTGTTGAAAAAGCCTGCAAAGACTGTTGAAAATTAAATCTTGGGAGTCATAAACAAACAAAAAGATGATCTTTTTTGACACCCGATTAAGAAACAAGAAAGGGGGAATCGAGGGATTACCAGCGAAGAATCACAGGGTTTGATTGTGAGAGCAGATGAAAAAAATGGGTTTTGAATGTTCGATAAAAGTCAGAGAGAGAGAAATGGAGAGTGGAAAATCGAAAACACGAATTAACAAATCAGTGAGGGAGCCAAGTAAGGTTGAATGAATAGAAGAATGTCACAGGGTTGTACCAAATGCATTGATGGTTGTACGATGAAATGGCATTTTCTTCAGCACTGTCTTTTAGACAATTTCATAATTCATACGGCCCGTGTACCAGAAAGAAAGCCGTCCGGCGCTTGTTTTCTTTTCTTTTCATTTCATATATTAATTAAATTTATAACTTATAACTTATCCATATCAATCGTATTTATTTTTTCTTTCTTTCCTTTTTTATATAATTATAAATATTTTTTAATTCAATTAAATAAACATATATTCACCATTTTATTCCTAAATTATTTATTTATTTTTTATCTTTATTTTTATATTTTTTTTAGCTTTTTGTTTGAATATACTAATTAATGTTGTTTTTTTATATTTGTATTAAATAACGTTTTTTTTATATTTTTTTTTTCAAATACACAAAGTAAAATAAAGACACAAACTATCAATCATTCAATGTAATTTTTTTCTTACGTTTGTACGTTTAAATCATTCGCTTATACGTTTGTGTTAGTTTGTTTATTCGGTTTTAAAACGTTTTATAATTAATTGTTAAACAATGATCTTAAATATTATGATTGATATAAAAAATTGATTATACACTTTTAAGTTTTTTTTAAACGTTTTTCTGGATTTGGATTTGGATTCAGATTCATATCACTTTTATAAACTTTCGGATATTTTGGATATCTAAAGTATGATTTATTATTATATTTATTATTTATTTTTTATTTTGGAAATGAACTTTAGAAAAACTTTTATGTTAGATTTAGTTGCTATTGTGTTAAATGACTTTGTCTAACTCTTCTATTAGAGCATTTGACTAGTCTTTTATTTAGAATTAGAAATTGTCTTATCTTTGTTTTACGGGCAAAGCACTGGTAATCTGTAAATTTTATATTAGACAACAATCATTTTTTTAATTTTTTAAACACGTGGGACATTTGTTGTAAAAAAAAAACTTGCACAATGATCAAATCTGCCAACATACGAAAATATTATGACCAAAGTCTAAAACCCAAAACTATATTATTCTAAACAAGTTGCTTTTTATTATATATAATGGGTGTAATCTGTAAATTTTCTATTAGGTGTGGACTATTTTCTATTTTTTTTAAACACGTAGACCATTTGCTATAAAAAATCTACACATAAGCCTGTAAATTACAGGTACAAACTTGTAATTTATTTTCTACATAACGACCAAACCTACCAACATACAAAAATTTTGAGGCCAACTTATGAAACTCAAAGGGTATAGAGTAAACTGCAAATTTGGTCCCTAGGGTTAGTAAAGTGTGAATGGAGTCCAAAAAGTTTTCAACTTGCACCATTAGTCGAAAATCACAAACTTTACTTGGAATTGGTCCTTGAAATGACTCTTTTACCCTTTTCATTTGTTTTTTCTATTTTCTTTATTAATTTCAGTATTTAAATATTTAGAAAAATAATAATAAAATCCTACCCCACCCACCCTATTACTCCACATGCAACCCCTACTGTCTCTCTCTCCCCCTCTCTCTCTCTTTCTCTCTTTCCCTCTCTTTCTCTCTCACGTACACACACCTGCAACTCAAAACACATACATACACATTTATAAATCGATCCTTCATCTTCTTTCATCATCAAACTCGCCCACCAAATTCTTTCTAATCCGTTCAAACATGTATCAGAGACTTATCAAACTTATCCCTCATTAGAAGCTTGATTTCTTCCCTTTAACCGATTGATGCTTACTCCTACTACTTCCCACCACTATCACCACTTCTTATTTTTCCAATGGTTGGAATCGAAATCACATGGATCTTTTATTTGCATCTCGTTTAGGAGTGAACTTGGACCCTCAATTGAAGAGTACAAAGAACTAGAGAAAGCCTTGAAAATCTAAGAAGTCTTTCATCTGGGTGATCTAGTCTATAACCTCTGCATCTCGTGTTATTTCTTAGGGGTGGTGTTGGGTCAAACAAATGACAGTGAAGAAGAAGAAGGGCGCCACAACTGTCGATTTTGATCCACCCATCTACAAGCGGGTTCTTATCTCATTGTGGGTGGAGGAAATATGTATTGAAGAGAAGCACGAAGGGGGTAAACAAAGCAAGAAGTTGTGTACTCTGTTATCAAATTTTTTGTAGGTAAATGGTTGAATAGCTTCGATCACCACCAATGGCTTCCTATTCCTCTCTCTGTATCTGCGTACACAAAAATCAGTAACAAATATTAAAAACAAATTGCTTGTGGCTACTTGATCATATCTGATTTTGCAGGTCGTAAGATGATGGTGGCAGTGATGTTGGGCTGTGATGATGAAGGTGTGTGGGTGGTGAGATCTGAGAAGATGATAACATGCTTGATTCCTCTTCCTTCATCAGATCTGCAGGTGATGTCATAAACAAACGAGAACAGGGGAAGAAGATGGTGATAACTGATTTTTGATAATGGTAATAATGGGTCTATGATGGAGAGATGAAGAATGGGAGATGGATTTGGGGAATTTTGGGTAAACAGTTCTAAATCTTTTGATTTGGGAGACATATTCGAGGTCTTGCGGATCTGGGTCTTCTTTGAAATCATCGCCATCATCTTTAGAATTTGGAGATTGCAGGAAGTAGTGAGAATTTTGAACCGATTAGAAAGAATTTGGTGGGTGGGTTTGATGATGAAAGAAGATGAAGGATCGAGTTATAGAAGTGTGTGTGAGGGGTAGGGGATTACCGGTGGTGTGATCTGGTGGGTGGAGTTGGATTTTTTTTTTTCTAAATATTTAAATATTGAAATTAATAAAGAAAATAGAAAAAAAAAACAAATGAAAATGGTAAAAGAGGCATTTCAAAATTATTTAGCATAAAGGTTGTGATTTTGGACTAATGGTACAAGTTGGAAACTTTTTAGACTCCATCCATATTTTTTGCTAACCATTTACAGTTTATTCAAGAGTATACTATTTAAACACATGGACCATTTATGTAAAAGAAAACTGGACATGGACCTTTTCTGTAAATTATACTGACAACTTTTGTAATATTTTCTATACATGGACCAAAATTTGTCAAGATACGAAAGTATTATGGCTAAAGTATAAAACTCAAAACTATATTATTTCATAAATCATTTGATTTTTGTTATATACAAGAAAATGGGAAATGTTTAGGTTAAATTGTAACGCCGCCAAAATATTGACATAAAATTTCGTTTATTTATAGAAGAAGAATTATCAATTACTTGTTTAAATAAAACGGATACATTATAATCAGAGTATAAATCCCAAAACAAGTCAAATGTGGTACATAAAGTGTGTATGTCATGCAGTCAACCCGAGCCCTTCCTTTTGAAAACCAAAGTACCTGAAACATAAACTGAAAACCGTAAGCACAAAATTTAGTAAGTTACCCGAGATACCACATACTACACATACATAAATCACATATCGGGCCTCCGCCCTCCATTAGCGTCGCCCGGTCTCGAGTCCCACTCAGCCTTGGGCCTCGCCCGACATTGAGCCCCGCTCGGATTACAGATCTGTTATTCTCAGGCCTCGCCTGTCTCTGGGCCTCGCCCACCAGACACATAAAAAATATCACATAATCATGCTAACACATAAAATGATCATAAACCCTAGCATATGTCCCAGTCATCGGGCATCGCCCGTCATCGAGCCCCGACCGATACACACATTACCATATAACCATATTATCATATAGACGTATAACCATACTAGCACATGCAATAATCACAAAGCCTATAGCACACCATACAGTCATCGGGGCCCCACCGACATCAAGCCTCGCCCGGTAATCATAAGACACATATTGATAATCAACATACAATAACCACCTCAGGCCTCGTCTGGCATCGGGCCTTACCCGGTAAACATATCATCATATAACATGCACCAGAGTCGAACAAACATCTAGCTTCCTAACATAAAACCATGGGCCGGAATTGGTGCCTTCGACCCATTAAAGCCAATAAGGATACTCACTTCGCGCTGCCGAAACACAACAGACGATCCCTGGCTGATGGCTGACATATTTCCCGAACTGCTGATATCGAAACATCACCCAATTAACAATTGGGTTTCAAATCATCACCATAAATCCATACTTGGGGTAAAAAGACCATTTTACCCCTAACCTAGCTTGGTCCAATACCAAGGCCCAACTCATAATCTGGAAGGCCCAAAAATCAAATAACCAACCAAGGCCCAAATATGGCCCAAAATTCCAAATTGGGCCCAAACCCCCTTACATGGACCTTACCCTAAAGCCCAACCAAAATTCTTGGTCCAAGACACTCATACTCAGATGGCCCATTAAAAACTCAAACACACAAGCCCAAAAGGAAACCTAACACGAAGCCCAAAAGGCCAAAACCCTCCTGACTGAGTACGCGGGGCGTACTCAGCTGTACGCTAAGCATACATGCAATCTGGCTTGTACGCCCAACGTACTCCTCCATTAAGTCATTTTCGACATTAAGCTCTTAATGGTTAAGTCAAGAAGTCCAAATGCTTAAGTCCAGAAGTCTAACCTAGCTTGGTCCAAGAACAAGGCCCAACGTACTCCTCCTTCATCTTCAGACTCCAGAACTCCTGCTCTAACTTTTTTATCTCACCTCTGGGGGCAATATTTTGCTAACATTAGCTCCTTAAAGTCATCCCAACTCATGGCATTGGCTATTGGGAGAGTTAATGACTTGACTTGGTTGTTCCACCAAGTGAGGGCTCTGTCGGTGAAAGTGTTGTTGGATTAGTGTCTAAGTCCATAACTATATTTGGTATGTACTTGACCTGATTGGCATGGTCCATTTGGGTTGCATGGCATCATGCATTTTGGATAGACTAAAATGAGAGAAATAACACTTAAGGTTTATTAATATATTATAAGTTCTAATATATTAATAAGATTATTTAATTAGTATTTATCAAGAATTAATTTGGAATTAATTAAGTGATTAAAAGGAGACTAATTAAAGATATGAGTTGTATGTGTAAATCATCCATACTTGTATAGTGGACTAATGCTCCATGGATTATCAAGTTGGACTAAAACCCATAGGATGCTCCATGGTGTTTTTGTACCCATGGATCATGAAAATGAAAGGCCATGACAATTAGGGTTTACATGGTGTAACCCTAATTGTGACACACTATATAAGCATCTTATTCTTCCCAAAAATCAGCCACTATGAAGGAATGGTGAGGGATAGCCGATTTCATGAAGTGTCTCATTTCTCTCAAGTTATTCTAAGTGTATTTGGTGTTGTGTGAACCATTTGAGGTGTCACACTTGAGGCACTAGGCTCTTAAGCTCCATGGAATCAAGCTACAACAAAGAGGTATGTAATTCTACTAGAATTTATATTATATGGTCTTCATATTATGCTAGTTAGAACAATACCTTGTAAAAATTGATATTTGCATGTATAATAGAGAAAACATAGATCCAAGGTATTTGGGGTTGCATGTACACCTTAGGAGTGTTAGAATGCTCAAAACCCTTCAGTGGTATCAGAGTCTAGGCTTGTTTTCAATTATACTTGATGCTATTTGCAAGAAAAATCGGTTTTTTTTGGAATATGCCAGTTCACCATGAGGTAGTAAAATTTACCACGAGGTGGTGACTGTTCAGTGAAAAAAAATCAGTTTTTTTGGCCTGTTTTGGATTAGAAACATTACCACAAAGTGTTTTTGTTCATAAAACTTGTTTTTAATGTGGCAATGTTCATTCTAATCCAATTTCAAAGATAATTGTCAATAGATTCATGTTTTGTATTAGTTTAATGGTTAGGCTAATTACATGAAAAAGTTTGATTGAATTATCTTGTTCTTATGAGTTGCTTAGATTAATAGAAAAGTTATGTGAAATTGTTGTTTTCAATCCAAATTAATCTAAGAGTTGGTTCTAAAATGTGTTTTTGTAACTTGTCCTCAAGTTATATGAAAAGTCACATTTAAGATTCATAAAACTCATAAATATTTCCATAGGTTATGAATAAAGAAAAGTCATATTCTTTTAATAATTTAAAGTCTTCCATAACTTGTCCTCAAGTTATGGAACTTGAAGAGTTTTTTGAATTAAAACTACTTTAAACACATAAGTTATGGAATTGAATAGTTTTGAATAGTTTCAAAACATGCCCTCAAGTTTTGGAATTTGTAAAGTTTTCCCTTATGACTACTTTAATTCCAAGTTAAGCCCTTATGTAACGCCCGTAGATCCGGGCTAGTCAATTTAGAGATAATAGGGGTCGAAAACGACTTCTCAACAAAAGATTATTTAGAATAAATAATCTTAACCGAGTTGTAGAATATATCTCAAGGGTTCCGTACATATAAAGAACGCCGAAATCCGAGTTATAACGAAGACGTTATGGCCCGTCGAAGTTTTACGGCAAAACCGGCACGGCATCGGGAAGCGTAAATAGTGAATTTACGATAGAGCGAATTTTAGACTTAGTGATCTAAACAAAATTTGTAGAATACGTTAAACCGAGAACCTACAAAAAAAGAACGCCCAAATATGACTTCGTGTGAAGAAGTTATGAATTTTCTAAGATTTGGCATAGCAGTGCACGGCCCGAAACTCAAAATTTTAGTTCGAGCGGTTTTGGTTTACGCGACCTAAGTGAGAGTTGAAGATCTCATTAATAGGAACTCAACGGTAAAAAGACAGACGAAAACGGAGTCCGTATGAAGGAGTTACGAATTTTTCGCGGTCATTTGACAGTCTAATCTCCTCATACTGTTAAATTTAAGATCGGTGGAGAATTAGCCGACGGAGTCTAAATAAAAGTTGTAGATCTTGTTTTTACCTATGCATGGAAAAAAAGAACGTCGAAAACGGAGCTCGTATGCGAAAGTTACGTGGTTTAGAAGTCGGCAGGGTGCTGCTGCAAAAGGGGTGACGTGGCACAATGTAGGCCACACACGTGTGGCCACCAGAAAGTTGACACATGGCACTGACTCGGCGAGTCAGTGAACCGACTCGGCGAGTCCATCAGGAATTCAGCCTATAAATAGAGGTGTCGGGCATTGCTATTTCCTCACACCTCAACCCTCTTCTTTCTCTCTCTATACTCTCTCTCTCTCTAAGCTCCCTAACCCCTCCTAAAGTCTAGGTAAACCCCCTAGCACCCGAAGGAAGCCCTGAGGCTCCCAAAGCCCCGAGAAAAGAGCCTTTCGGCTCAGAAACTCTGCTCCGGCGGATCCCGGTTTTCGAGAAAACCTACTGTAAGTGAGCTACGTCTACGTTATTTTTAATATAGCTTCTAATTAATTATAGTAACATTATTAGGACCTTAAGATAATTATTTGGGCTATTATTATGAGTTATATAAGAGTATTTCTTAACGCTTATATAATAGTAATAATAGCTAGACTATTAATTAGTC